TACAAGGCACTTCTCTGAAGACAGTACTGTTTGCTGGTTTTATTGTTACTACAAGTTCCTGACTGCCCAGAAAACTTGCTATGTTTATTGTCAGATTCCGTCATGTAAAAGACAAACGTGGAAAGCAACAAGAAAGTTCTGAGTAAGTTTTCTTATGCATTAGAACCCTTTAACTGTGAGAAACAGTGGCAATGCAAATAGCAATGTACTCTCCACCTTAAAATATGCTCACACATTTTGCATAACTCTTCAAGAACTGAAAGCTCTAGAATTAGATTGGCATCTTACAGCAAACTTAAAATGCAAATCTACAATTTCTTTAAAACAGTGTTTTTAGTTTATGCAAAGAGTCCCATTGCCTTTAATGGTCTTATTTGCAAAAGTTAAAATAACTTGCATGAAATTGTATTTGCAGGCTCAGAACCATATTTTTGCCTAGAAAGCAAAACATTTAATTTATTTTTTGCAAAATCTTCTACAGTGTAAGAGTGCAGTGTTTATTCACAAGTACTTTGTTTGGAATTTTAAACCAGGCTGTAAATTTAGCTCGTAAAGGACATATGTCACAGCAAATTTTTGTCATTGAAGCTCTAAACACACAGGAAGGCATATGAACAAGAGTGAGCCTTAGTTTATTTGGCAATAATTGAATTCATGATGAAATTTTTTTCCCCCATTGTGTGCTCCCTATATATCCAATGCCCCTATTTTAATTACACAGAGAAAGCTGATATTATGCATCAGTGATCGGGTTAAATTTAATGGTACTGCCTTATGTCTGAAGAGTTCCTGTGTTATAGTAAGACATTTCTCTCATGTTTAACACATTGGCAGAGTCATTCTTTTACTTCTTATACAAATGTAAACTTAGAAAGCAGTTTATTTCATCCAAATGTGCAATCTGAAATCAAAAACTGAAAGTAAACTTCAGAAAATCAAAATTGCAAGAGCACACTTTTCAGAAGAATCAAAGTAAAACATTTTGAATTTTAAAAAAACCCAGCCTGTTCAAATCCATGGTGTTAGTATCTGTACAAAACAAAAAGACCTGGGGGCTCAACACTCTGCTCCTGCAGACTGCTGTCATCCACATGAACTCAGGGGAATACAACAGTTTGGAGCAGCTGAGGAGGTGGTCCCATGACTAACCAAAAAAGGACCTAAACAGTGATCTTATTTTTAAACCTTGCTTTTATTATTTTACTGATCCTACACTTATGTATTCATACCATAAAATAATCTTAAGAGCTGCAAAATGTCAGACATTTAATTCGCTCTAAATGCCTTGCTGAACAACAAATATACTGCAAAAGGAGTAGTACATCATACACCTGGTAACTTGTTCAAAGAGTATCTTTTTTCAGTTTTCTTTTCCATAGCTTACCTCAGCACATTTTTTAACTTCAAGTAAGAGAGAGAACAAGTCTTCCCACAATTACTCTACTCAAAGAGCAAAAATTAGTAGGTTTTTTTTCAGTCTGCTTAATATCAGGCATGATTCTGTTCTGACTTCTGCTTTTGTGATAACTTACCTACTGGTTTTGTATCTTAGCTGTGCACTTGAGGTCTTTCAGAATTGTGTTTGAACAGCCACATGACTGGGTTAAATCAGGGTATCGCCTGCTTCCAGTTCCCATGAAACTTTCTAATTAATTGACAGGAAAGAGTCAACAACTTAGAAATTAGCAGATAATTTTTGCCAATAGACTCCATTCTGCAAGTCAATGGATGTTTGTACATATTTTCTAGAACTGTACAATTCTGCACAGAATTCAGCACTTGACTCACAGGACGTTGAATTCAGTGATCGTTCATGAGTAAAGATTGAAGTCCTCAAAATTGGCCACACCAGTAAGATTTTTCTTTCAACAAATCTGAATCCAGGTGTGATGTAGCAACTACAAGCAGTTGGAAGCACTAAGGAGGAGTTCTGCCAAAACAGTTACCTGGGCTTAAATGAAGAAACAGTTACTGGACTCCAAATGAAACTGCAGGCAATGAAGAGGCGTGACGCTGCATAGTTACGTGATGGAACTTAAGCTGATCTTAAAAGCGCAACCTGTGAGTTGTAGCTTTGCTTTCTCAGACCAGGACTGCCTGGATGCAGAGGCTGCTCTCTCAGACTTCTCTTAGGGGTTGCAATAGAGTTACATTTCTCCCCCCGAGCTTCACCTAACAGGAAAAACCATCTTTTAGAGCTTTCCAGTAGTTACTCTGGCTGAAAATACCATATATTCCACAAAAGCATCTGAACTTTCTGCAGGTCTAACCACACACATTAACTTGAAAAGGTCAGCCTAGGTCTCAGTTGACCCTAAGTTAAATCCATCTCTCTTACTATTTTTTATATACAAATATGGGTGCAATCCTGCAGGACACACTCTGTGAGGGTAGAACTAAAGTAAGGGCTGCAAGATGCAGAGCCCTATCAAACATCATCAGTTTTGCTCTCAGAAAGTGATATTTAAAAGCACACATTCCAGGTGGTCTGGTTTATATAAATACACTCCAGAAAGACTTGGACTTCATTCTTCAGAAACACAGAACAAAGGAAAATGTAGCTCATAAACTCCAATGTACTAAAACACAGAGATGCATATATTGCATTATTTCAGCAATGTAGTTAACTGGCAGTTATCAAAACTTACAAAACTGCTACTATAGATGCTAGTAAATCTTAAAATTTTGAATCATAATCTCTGTTTACATCTAGGCAACTTCATCAACTTCAGTCTATGTTTAGCATAGTTGCATGGATACAATAGAAAGCAGAACTTGGCTTTTAGTTTTCTGGCAGAAAATGTTTTTATGGCTTGTAACACAGAAAATCCACGAGAGAATGCCTGAAGCTGCATACTGAATAATAAATATCTTTACTGTACTACTACACATTGACTTTTAATGCAGTGGCTGCCCTAAAGATCCATGGAAGTAGGACTTCTCCTCACCTGGTTCAACACAAGCAGGACAAGGAAGTCATGAGACAACATGCCCAAAGCTTGAAGAACAGTGCTTCTGATCATAAGAAGCTCATTGTAACTACTCAGAAAGCAGTAAAAATGTTTAATCTTGTGTGGTGGGAATATATTTTGACTGTTGAATAAAATAAGCATGCTCAGGAAAACATTTAACACCAGAAATAACTGGTAATGTGAACTACTTGCTACAGGTTGACCCTGCTTTGCCTGAGTAAGGACTACACTGCCAGGCCAAACACTTGGAAGATGCAAAGGGTTATCCCAGTGTGTTTGATTGCTCTTTTCCAGTTACAGTACGCTGGATTTATAGCAGCAACAGGACTGACTCCAAGCTTTAGTTCTTTTGGATTTTGCTTAGAACAGAAGCTGGGCTTAATTCTGTATTCCTTTTGTACTGAAACTCTCCTGAGCCTATTCAGGCATGCAGAATTCTAACATCTTGTTTAGGAGGGAATAAAGGACAAAGTCTGTTGAAAGGAAAGATGCACCTTAGAAAAAAACCCCTAGTACTTTCCTTCACCCATTTTTAAGGGACACACACATTTTTCAAAAGCAGGACTTCAATGTCTTTTCTAAGGCCCAAAATCTAAATTTCTTCTGGCTCCCAAAACTTCATGGGAATGTTAGTCTTGTTTGAATAAGGCCTGCAAGATCCACTCCCAAATCTTGCTCCTTGTAAACTGAACGGAAATTCTGAAAGTGACTTCAGATGGATTCAGACCCTTCAGCCACCACATTGCCCAGATATTTTAGCCACTTTATCTGCAATACAATATTATCTAAGTCTGTTTTCACTGACCTAAAGACACTACAGATTGATGTTAAAGGGTACACAACAGGAAATAATGTTGATTTGGGAATTTCACCATTAGTAAGTTTTTTTCCTCTTACATTTTCTTGTAAGATCAAAGATCAAACTAAAATTATTAAGTACACAGTCAAGTAACTTTAAACCTACAGATTATTCTAAAAATGTTCAAATACTCAAAAAAAAGCACTCAAGTTCACTTCTAAAAAGCATTTTTCCAACAAACTTATGCTGATATCTAACAGCCTAAAATGCAGAGCTGTACTTTATCCTAATTGTCTGTCCATGGGCAATGTATGGAGCCACATGTGTACTGAAATCATAATCCTTGCTTTCTGAAGAGAAATTGTTCTGTGTAATAATTTCCAAGGTGTGGTTTGAATTCCTGTCCTCCTGTAAGCAATTTTAGAAGTCAGCTAAAATTATAGTCAAACATGCTCAAACATATTTGCAGGCTTATAAACATGGTGTGATCATGGTTGGCAAACACTGGATAGAAGGTCAAACTGAACACTTCCTAAAAGGTCAAGAGTGAAAAAAAAAAATTATGGAAAGAAGAGCCTCAAAAACCCTATTCCAGGGGTTCCCTAAACTTTGCCTGGCCAAGGACAGCATTGGTGACTTGCCATGAACACAAAGGCTCATAAGGCACGTTATGTGGAAGAAACTGAGTTACCTTTGGCAAGTTGGTCCGTAGACACAACAGGTGCCAAGAGGCAATATACCACCCTGATGTTTGCCATAGGGCTATGTAAGATTTAAGAGGAAGAAAGTAAGTCATTGCATCTGCTCATGTAGAGCTTCTGGGAAAGCGCTGAAGTGAAGGCAAGGGCAGGAGGGAGATGACAGCCAGGTGCACGGGCGCCGGGGATATTAACATTTTTCTCAGGTGGAAGTCAGCCTCAGGGCACACGACCAGCTACCATCACCACCTGTAAACTGTGCAGGCCTCCCCTACAGCTGCCCTTGAGGGATCTGCTGTGAACCTGAAGGAAAGCGGGACTGGTCCCCTGGCCCACGGGCTGCGCTTCGGTCACCCCTGACCTATTAGAAAATGTTGATAATTTTCCCCACTACAACTCACAGAGTGCAAAAACAGCAAGCGTCTAAGTTTGAAGCCCAGGCCTCCTCACCCACGCCAGGCCTGGCCTCCCCAGGCAGCTCCCCTGCCCACTCCGCCTTCCAGCACCCGCTCCCCGAGCAGGGCGACCGCCTCACACGGCCAGGTCGTCTGACCGGGCTCTGCAGCTGCTCGACTTACTGGCCCTGCTCAGGCGCCGCGCGTCTACGAGCAGCGGCGGCTCGTGCATCTCCACCGTGGTGCAGGCGGCCGACACGGGCCGTGCCCCCGACAGCTCCACCTCGCCCTCCACATCCCACTTGCTGCCGCTCGCCCCGCTCAGGCTGGTGCTGCTGCCGCTGTTGGCTGCGGCGATGGGCAGCACGGCCGGGGGTGGGAGTAGCTGCTCCAGTGGCTCTTCCTGCTCAGGAAGGGGATGCCGGACGCTGCTGGGGGTAGAGGAACCTGCTGAGCTGGAGGAAACCTTCCCCTGCTGCTCAGCTGCCATGTTGGCCCAGTTCTGCTCAGATGGCAGGGCACGGCTGCCGCTGTTGAAGTAGTTGATGACGGCTGGCGTGGGCGTGGGGATGGGGGTCGGGATGGTGACGGGAGTGGAGATGGGTGTGGGAGTCACAGCACGGTGCCTCTCCTCAGGAACTTGTGGAGCAGCGGGGTAGCTTGCCATGGACGTCGTGTTGGAGGGGGGCCGCGGTCTTGGAGCAGCTGTAGCATAGTACGATGCCATGGTCACTGGGGCCAGCAGCGGTGTGACAGCACGGGTGTCAGGCAGAACAGGGGCCGGCGTGGCAGTCGTGACCACCACAGGTGGTGCTGGCGGCGGCAGGGAAACAGGTTTGGACTCCCCTGTTACCATAACTGGAGTCATTGTTGCGACAGGCATCTCTAGGATGTACTGACTCGTCATGCCCTGCTTAAGCTTCTTCCACCCCAGGTGATATATCTCAAGCATGTTCAGCAGCAGGGAGACTGAGGCCACCACCAACATGAAGATGATGAAGATTGTCTTCTCAGTGGGCCTCGAGATGAAGCAGTCCACAGTGTGTGGACAAGGTGAGCGGCTGCACTGGTAAACCGGCTTTAGCTCGAAGCCATATAGGAAGTACTGGCCCACAATGAAGCCCACCTCAAACAGTGTCTTGAATATGATATTGAAGACATAGGTACGGAGCAAGGCACCTCCCATACGGATTCTACCACGTTCATCACGGATTGGGAGCTTCTCCTTCCCCCTTTTGACAATAGGTTGATCTTTGACGTTATTGCTGCCTCCTCCACCACCGCTGCCAGATGCTGCTGCTGCTACTGGGTAGTTGCCATCTTTGCTGCTCCCCTTCTTTTTCAGCTCCTCCTTCTCTTTCCTCTTCTCCTCCATGCGTACAATGTGCAGGACATGGCCCAGGTAGATGAGGGTTGGAGTGGAGACAAAAATGATCTGCAGCACCCAGAAGCGGATGTGAGAAATGGGGAAGGCTTTGTCATAGCAAACATTTTCGCAACCAGGTTGCTGAGTGTTGCATGTAAAGTCCGACTGCTCGTCTCCCCAGACCTCCTCAGCAGCAGCCCCCAGCACCAGGATCCTGAAGATAAACAGTACCGTCAGCCAAACCTTGCCAATAACCGTGGAGTGCTCCTGCGCATTCTCTAACAGTCTCCCCAGAAAGCTCCAGTCACCCATTGCTTCAGATCTCTAACCTACAACAAGAACATCAGAGCAATTAGAGCAATGTTAAAACATCTTGGAATTGCACAGCGTTGGGGCAGAACAGATTGATCCCAGATAAATGATATTTCTTATCTTGCTTTTGCAGAATATTGCACACATACACTAAGAACTGAGACCACACAACCACAGGCTTTGGTGAGCACAGAAGGGAGATGTTTAAAATGATCTGACAGAGCCTATACAGGCCTATACACAACTGGCAAGGAAGATTTGTAAGTTAGAATTTCTACAAGACTTAAATATTTAAAATAACATTATTTCTGTTTCCTCTGTCTGAGATGGCTCTATGTGCTCCTGCTTTTATTTAGAAAAGAACAGGTAGAAACCAGATCAATTAAACAGAATAAGGCTACTATTAATGCAACTGCACTGGTATCCTGAGTGTGATGCGAAGTTTGCCTAACTCTAATAATTTTATTGCTATCAGAACTTATTTATTCCAGCAATCAGGAAGTTAGTAATGGGCCTCTGCTATTTTCAAACTGTACAAACACAGAAAAACAATTACTCAAAACCGATGGAATTTACAGTTGAATTTTGGAATTTTATACAACTCAACAAGCATGTTCTCAAAGCCCAGTCATATTTGAATTTGTTTATTTAAAAAAAAAACCCCAGACATTTTAATAACTTGAAATATTGGGAAGAATGACAAATTCTGCACAAGGAATGGTGAAAAGGGTTCTGTGCTATTTCCCCTACTGTCCTGGCAGTTTGTGTTACTGAACCATAACTACTGCAACATCATTAAAACCAAACAAAATAAAACAAAAAAACCAAAACAACAAACTCAAGATCACTTCAGCAAACTATAATACAGATATTTTCTTGGAAAAAAACCAGAATTACATCCTATGACCTTATTTCTGTGACAAACAACTGGCATATATTCTCAGCAGTTTCCACCAATTCATGCATGATGGGCCTCCCAAGTCCAATTCTAGGCAGAGAAACAAATGCTGATTTGGAAAGGCTTAAAGTGTGAGATTTTTTTAATATCAGATTCCTCACAAGCTTCCTCCAATTGAGAAACAAGAGAAAACTCCTGGTATCACTTCTCTCATCCTTGGCCTGTTCCTAACTGGATTTTATGTAAGAATACTGGAATATATATAAGTGCAATTCATTCCCCAAATAAACTCACTTCTATATTTTATATATCAACCTTCAACTAAAAACAAAATCAAAAAAATTGCTTTCAGCTAACTTCAATACCTTCAGAAATACTTGTATCATAATTGTAATTCAAATTTAACAATTTGCATAGAGTAAAAACCACTATCAGAAAAGTAATTATCTGCTTGTTTAAAAATCTTAGAATATTTTTTATACAACTTAATTACATCTTATTATGCTTATACTTCTCATCCAAACACCTGGGTGTCTTACAATTCCTGAGGAAAAACAGTTGTTCATGGCTACACCTAGGAATTTACCACAGAAGAAGTGTAGTATTCTCATCATTATATGAATGTAATTTCCAGCAATTATGTCACTGGTTTTCCAAAATAAGTACTTCCAAAGTCTATCCTGGACTTCTTTCAGGCTTTTAGTTAGGCAATGAAAGAAATTAAATTTATTTGAAGTACTTTTTTGTAAATTGATTTTACTGTGAGGCAATGAAATACCTATAACTGTAGAGCAGTATGCTTTCATACAAAAAGCAACAACACACCCATTAGTATTTTGCAGTTCTATAAATCCTGGTATACTAACTCATTTTTCCTTACACTAAGTTAATTTAATAAAAACTCCCCCTAAAAATACATCTTTGATATTCTTCAAAAATGCATTCCCTTTAATATAAGTGAATTCTATTTCCAATATAAAATGATAAACCAGAAACTGTACTAGCAACAAAATACTGATTTTGTGTATGTTTCCTGTCCTGAAATTTTTTTTTAAAATTCAGATTCTTTTTGAAAAGTGTATTTTTTCTCCTCTTAAAACAGTAGCCCAAAGCTGAATAAATTTTGTTATAGTATTTTCATAGTCTTAATTAAATATGTTTATATTACTTTAAAATTTAACCATCCATCTTAATGTTGTAAGGTTTAAAATATTTTGGTTGGTTAAGTAATTTTAATCTTGACAAATAATAATTTTTACGGCAGTAATGAATTAATTTTATACTTTTTTTTACTCAAAATCATTTGAAGATATACCCAGTTTAGTTCCAGCTTTGAACAGAACTAAACTGTTGTTCGGGCATGTTCTCATTATGAGTGGGAAAATGTAGGAAAAGCAAAGTAAATAATGTGATATTTGATGGATTAAAGAAGCTTAGCATAAACCCAAGTTTATTATTTCCTTTCTCTGCTATACTTTGCATTATTCTGTGCCTCTCAGTTCAATACTCTCTGTCTCACTATTTTCCATCCAGATAAAACAAAATAGGCAGCTCAGGTACTGAGCAGACAATGATGTCTACAATGAAAATAGGATGTTTTGTGCTTTTCTGACAATTTATCTAGTGACTAACAGAAGAACATTAACAATTTTTAGAAGTTAAAATGACAAATAATAAATCCATCTAACTTAATCATTCTCCAATCACTAACACTATTCAAGATTTTTTTTCTTTTTACTACAGGTCAGCAATGCCCAGGCTGAGTTAATTCAGGACACCACAGACACGACACATTGCACTTCTCAGAGGATACACATAAAAAAAGCTATTTTAGTGCTTACATTAGCTATAATATTTATTTCTGTGTATTAGAGTGCAAATTCATCCTGCACACCAAGACAAAGTGTTTAAACCATGAGCAGACACTTCACAGCATCTCAGCTGCACAGAGGTGAAGAGTCTCAGTGTACATCCTAGTATGAATTGCAGCAACTGCTGCCGTCACCACAAATGTGTCTTGTCCATAGTACATAAATACTGGAAGGACATTTTTTCCAAGGGCAATGCAAAGTTACATATCTCCACAGGCTGGAGAGTTCCCAGAAATCCAGGTCCTGTGTCTTTCTTCACTGCCAATACATTCTTCAGTAAGCAATTCTTAAGGCCAATGTAACTCATCCTAAAATCACACCAACAACTGCAAAGGGGTGGCTTGATACAAATCATTATTAAATCACATTAAATGAAAACAGAAAGTTCACAATGCTCAGAGAATATTTGATTTTTCTCTAGTGAGTTCAAGAATACCTATGTCTAAATTTAAACAGCCACAACTCAATATTCTAGCTGAGAATATCCCAAGCTTGCTTTTGTAGTATTACATAAAATTCAACTGTATAGAATTACTTTCAGTGCTAGAGACAGGCAACTCTTAAGACCTAATCTTCAAAAAGGATTGTGAAAGGAGACATTTTTTCTTTTTGTGCTTGGAAAAAAATGCAGATTACGAAATGAAACATCTTTATCTGCATTTCATTATGTCCATGAATACCCGCAAGGGAATGACAGGGAATCTGTCTCAGAAAACAATCTAATCCAACAGTATGAAAAGCAAGGACTTCATGAACCTTCATATCATTTAATAAGAACTGGGAGTCTTGTATTATTTGGCGTATTCTGTTGTATTGTATTTCTTGTATTAGAAAATAATTCCTTTGAGATCACACTGAAAAATGGACACTCATAATAATTGGTATGGCATTTAAGAATCAATGTTGTGTTATTAATTACTAGTTTAGTACATGCACAAACACACTTTGCACATAACAAAGAGAACAAGAAAGCAAGAATAAATTTTAGAAGCTGCAATGTCATATCTATCCCTCTGCAGGAGAAGAATAATTATAATGTGACATTGACAAACTTTCCAGTTATTTTTATTTCTGATGATGTCACTGAAGAGGCTCATCACTATGTATACTAGGTGTGCAAAATTTTGTTATTTATAAATTTACTCAACATGCACATATTTATGTCTTTGTATACACATATGAACACAAATAAGTACACGGCTGTACTACATATATTACCAGATTATGACACTTGATGTATTTATGACTTCATTATACTGGTACATCCAAAAGATGTCCCATAACAAATATTTAGAAATTTAACAGATATCCTTGTCAGAATACAATTTCTTAAATTCAGCCCACATTTCCTTTAATTTCTTGTGACAGTCTAAACACTCGGGATTTAGATTTTTTTCTTCAAAATTATATCTACTTTATAAATCAGTATGACAAAAAAAAAAAAAGCTGTGAAAACATCTTGCAATATTTACTTTGTTTTTACACCAAACAATCAGGAATCTCCACCACTACCAGGTTCTTAATTTTGCTAACTTAAATGAGACAAAAGCAGTCATCCTGCAGAAAGTCTGCAGCGTGACCATGTACTTCCAGACAAACTGGCATATGTGCGGGCACAGAATGAGCTACTATTATTTCCAGTGAAACTTAATGGCTTTTGGCCATGTACATGTATATGAAGCACAATGGTGAGTGTTTCATAAATCACAATAGCAGTTTCACAGTTCATTTTGTAAACTTGTTTCAACGAGGATTTGAAAAATACCTTTTTTTATGCTCCCAGTGTCATACTTTCAGACACATCTATCACCACTCCCACTGTATTTTAAACACTTGTTAAAAATTAATTCCTTAACTGATCTTGTTATTACCTTGAACTTACTTTACTGCTATGGAGCCTCCTCCTTAAATCCCAGGCAAAACTTCTTTAGACTTCTTCTTGACTCCACTTGACCTCTGAGTGAAAGTTTGGCCTGAGTAAAGGAAAAGCGCGAGGAGTGCAGGGCTGAGCCCAGAGGAGAGCTACACCCCACCTGTTAAACTCCCCTCTTCCCTGCTGGAGCCCTGCCCTGGTTCATTACCTGCAGGAGAAAATCAGGAACAAAAAGCAACCCCTTTTCTCCCCCAGAATACTCAAATGCCATCTTAGAGCTCTAGGTGGGAAGGAAAAGACAGTGACTTACCAGTAAAGCTGAAAGGTGTGAAGGGTGTGGAGCTACCGGGGGCCTGCG